TCACCTTCGCTGTCTGACTCGCTACACACTGTCCACTGTTTACGAAGGTCCTCAGCGAGTTGTCTCCGGTATCTTTGCAGGGTACGAGTTTGTTTTGGCTGGTCCGACTCGTCCTCTGTAAAAAGGCTTGGTGTCTCTGGCAAAAGCCGCTGCTGCTTATGTCCGGATTTGGGACCATACGTGCCCCGTCGGGAGCTCTCCGTCAGGGAGCGTTCAAGCCGTTTAATGTCCCTGGAAAATCCGTCGATGTCTTCGGCTATGCTCTGTGTGGACGCCATGCGACTTGTCATCAACAAAGGCGTCAGTGGAAATCCTAGAAAATCCCGCCGCTGCCACCAAATGTAGCGTAGACCTGGGTGCTATTGTCCCTCAAACCCGGTAACTCAAAAGAGGGGGGACAGATACAGGACTTCCAAAAACAATTTAGTTGTTTTATTCACCAAACTCGGTACATGACCTTCCACACGGCCGTCAGAACAACAACTACTGCCTACGTGACACTCGAGCTCTGCAAAACACAGCATGTATCATAATGAATAACAATTTCTAAGGCCGCCCAGGCACTTTTCCAATTTCCCTCCGGCGCCTGCCAAACCACAACGCCCCAAAATAGAAACCAATTTCCGGTGTGCACCCAGCACATGAGGAACAGGTCAGGGCAGTCCGCCGGAGGCCCTCTGCCGGCGGCCCTCAGCGCCGCCTGCGGCGTACGAAAAATTTACATGGCAATAAAACATGAAAAAGGCTATACAAATGTCCACTACAAATGTACACTATTTTCCTTTTGGATGTACATGTAATTTAACAGTTAGAAATTCAAGAATGATTAAAAATCATACGCCAGATGTAGAGCCAATGGTTTTCTGTAATCATGGAAAACAGATGGAATTTGCGGACTCAACACTTTGAAACGGAATCCACCGCTTGATGTAGCAGGGATGAGAAAAAAATGGGCCCCAAATTTATAGAATGACCCAGACAGCAACTGCTCTACTTGAAAAAAAAAACACATGAATGCATGAATGAAATGAATGTAATGAATGCGACCAGAGGTTCACGATACACGTACCGGTACCTGTACCATGCAAACAAAATATTTAGTGACACTTGACGAGACTATGCCCCACAATAAAAAACTAATCAATTATTGTTTTCCTTACTACGTACATGTATCTGGGGAAAATCTGATTAGAGAAACTGTACATGTATGTTTTTAAGAATCAAATGTCAATAACACAGACGACAATGAAGACAGTATCAATTTCAAAATTGGAAGAAAAAACAGAGAGAATGTTTCAGAGAGACATGCCTAGACTGCATGTCCATGTATAGTAAAAACAAAAGGATTTGCAATGTACCTGTAGTTTTTTTTCCGCCTTTTTGGTCCTCGGGTGGCATTCTGACAAGGTAGGTAGCTAGGGAAATAACGATGGCGATAAGTATAACCCCTCCTACAACAGCTCCAACAATGATGCCTGTGTTACCAGAGGGGGGTGTAGTGGTTGGGCTTGCTAAATGGAGAAGGAAATAAATAAGAATACTTCAGTGTTACTTAATCTTGTATATGAGGCTGTAACCATTGTTATGGCTGTGTCTAAGAAATACATGTACATGTATGCACGGTGCATGTCTACTGACTGCAGCAAGTTTTCACAGATGCATGGAATTCCCAGCTCATCAAATGAGACAGTCCGAGGACTACATACATGTACATAAGCACCTGTGTGTGAGCTCTTGGCTCTAACTGCTGGTTTCTCCAACAGCAGTAACGGTGAAAACTGTTATTTCCCTGGTATATAACTTCCAAGTACTATTAGTAAACCGCATGTAAAATTTCGTTAAAATGACTGCATTTAATATTGACAGCAACTCCACATCAACCTGTCTGAAAATTTTACAAATGTCTTTACACGGTTGCTTAAAAATAGCGCTTTATTAAAAAATCAGACCACCATATTGAGAACCCATTAATCTCAATGCATTTTCAGAAAAACTGACTTCTTTATTGAGAAGCCAAGAAATTTCCATTATTTCCAACAATGAAACCTGGTGCACCTGTACCGGAACGTGTACATGTAATGCAGAGTTCAAGTTCAAGATACAAGTACATGTCACCAGAGACAAAGTCAAGAACAAAGGCCACTTCACAGGACTGAAACACTGTATATGTACATGTATGTAAAATAGCAGTTCACATAGGATCCAAACGGGCACAGACTGGCATTTGTACATCTAAAGTAGTACCTACAGTACGCGTACATGTGCTCGTGCTTAGTACATCCATGTACACAGCATGTACATGTCTGAAGAATAAAAATGTACCAGTATGTATACCTGTACATGTACATGCAGTTGAAGGAGCTGGATGATGCAATAGGAGGTTCATGATAAGATGTGTGCATCCATGATTACGGTAGACTTACATGTAGTATGCTCCTACTTCGTATGTCCTAAATGTACTATGTACCTTGTCCATGTACATGTACCATGTGTACATGTAGGTTTGAAGGCACTAATTAAATTTGTTTTGGGAGAAACTAAATTTTTTCCACCTATGTGAGGTCGTGAACCTGGAAAGAAGATTCCACAAAATAGTCAGTACTTGACTAAACCGGAATTCATGTGACACTACCATCTAAAGAAAAAAGGAAAAAAAAACTATTCCAGCCACATGTGCAGGAGCCTAACAAAGGACTGTTGCACATGGCTGCATGAGGCAGCAACCATGACACAAAAGCTGTTTATAGGTTGCAAGTCAGCTTATTTTTTCCACTTTACATGTGCTAGACTATATAACAAACTGCATATGCGGAAAAAGTAAATCACTGCTATGTGAACACGCACCGGTATGTATTGGACATTAATTTGGTATTACATGTATGTACATGTACAAATAATACTTAAGTCTAATACCAAAGGAAAAAAATTAAAACCTTCTATATATGAAAAATTAAATAAAGTTATCAAAGAACAAAGAAATATTAAAAATGACAATTTTGTATTGACTGTAGCATCTGAAACAAATTTTACCGGTACATGTACATGCTGTGATATTTGTTGGAAAAAATGACATACATGTATGAACATCTACATGTATGTGTAAATTTATTTTTCAATTGAAGTGTTTGTTTTTTTTCTTCACGATGACCGATTCACATACAAGTACCCATGTAGTTTGAGTTAATTGCTGACATGTGGTATTTTTGTTCATATTTGTTTCAGGGGTAACAACTGTAAATGAACGTTGCTTTGCTAGACTAATGTATGAAACTCTGTTTTGAAGGAAAGCCGACTCAAGTTTCTCCCAAAATGAATCTGCAAGAGATATACTGTACATGTAAGTTCAGAGGAAAAAAAAAACCAAAGCAACATCAAATGCAGTGTTCATTATGACATTTCTCTGTGATAGCGTAATTCTGACCTTGGTAACGGGCAGGAAAGAATTCCTTAAACCGAAGCCAAGTAACATACTAAGGGCTTTCCAAGGTATACATGTACATGTACACATATTACAGTTTTAACCTACGGTACACATACAATGTATCCCGCTACCGTACATGCAGGATATTGTCATGACTGATTAGTGTAGCCTTAGCACACATGTACATGTACTGGTAACTATTGAAAGCAAAGTACATACAGGCTCACCAATTACCAGCAATGGAAAGTTTACATTTCAGATCTAATGGCTTCTTTGGCTTCTGTTGGCAAGGTACTGGTACATGTACATGTATTACTACAGATGGCTCTCCAAATTAACAAAATTTTCTTCTCAAAAGACAAAAAGAAACACCAGCAGGCTGAAATAACGCTAACACCACAAGGAACTAAAAACTTCCCTGGAAGAGAAAGCAATCAAATACTTGACAACTGAAAGCCTCCAAAATGTAAAAAATGACAAAAACAACCTATGGTACATGTAAATTTTTAATTCTGAAGAGTGAAACTTTGCATGTAGGAAATGATAGAGGGAAAAAAGAGATTACCCGACAATACAGTACTTACGCAATGTATACCCCTTAATGCTGGCATATTTGTTGTTTTCACCGATGATATTGCTGGCATACACCCTGGTCTCATACTCGGTGTACTTATCGAGACCAGTTGCTGTGGAGGTAGTTCTCCCACCTGTCTGATCAGTGAAGACCTCTTTAGATGTCTTCAGGTAGCTGACACGGAATGACTGCACCTCACCACCATTAAACACTCCTGACCATACCACAGTCAGAGACTCTGCTGTCCGATTAGTGATCTTAACTTTCCTGGGCATGTCTGGTAATCCTGTGATAAGTAAACATGCGCTGGGATTATCACAAACACCTTTCTTTCTGAAACAATGGAGCAATATACAAAAACAGGATGTAAAACTGAATGTTTTTATGTATTTTATTCGGGATCAAAAAAGGACAAACATCTCGTGTAAAATCTGAGCAGAACACTAGAAATGTATATGAGATTTTCTGCCAATCTTACTTGTTCCATGGAGAATAATTTCCAGTTTGTCTTCTTTCCCAATTCCACTCGAGCTGTTGCAGACATACACCCTATAGTCCACCTGTGAATCCACCTTTTTGATGGTCAAATAGCTGGTTACTTCATATCCATAAACTTCATCTCCATCAGACACCTCCATTGTCACAATGAACTTGGAAGAGTTACATCCGGAGCTCTTAGCAATCTCAGTGTCATTTGTGTCATACCATACCATAACTGGCTCAGGATTGCCTCTTGCAATACAGGTCAATACAACATCAGTTCGATCATTAGCACCTTCCATATTATCTACCTCGTAAGTGATATTTACTTCATCTGTTGGTGAAGCAATTCCAAATAAGGAATCACTATTGTAACTATAACTGTCTGACATGAATGGAAATAAATACAACTCTTAATACACGTACATGTGCATGTGTGTCAGTAAATTTACGCCAGGGATCTCAAGTTTGAATGCAGCTTGAATGTACTGGCTTTCCTTAATAAATTCGTTTTATGAGAGGATTGCATGTACCCTACGGTGTATGTGTCAAAGAATTAGCGATAATAACATACAAACTAAGCTTCTCCCAGACATACTTTGCTTCCAGTGGACGGGTAGGTTCCAGTTGAGTCAGACAAGGCGATACTTGAGGGAAGCACTTTTAATGCAGATTTATAATGGAAAGGAAGGTGTTTTTGCTTCAAAATTATTCTGAAACAGCTCCGTATTACTCAACCAGAAAATGCGACGAATTCTTGAGCTGTATTGAAACACCTATATGTACAGTACTGTATTTAAACTGACTGCTTACCAGTGGGAACCTTTACTTTTAACATGCCCTCTTTGTACTGGACAGGGGAATGTACTAGGTTTCAAATCCTGAATTACGGAATAAATCTGTGTGATAGGTACACATACTATGCCTAATGATGTGTACTGGCCGTACAAAATGTGAAGCTGAGACTGAGGGGTAAACCGCTTGCATAAAGACAATTTCGGAATTCACAGACATAGGCCTACGGGATATAACTTCTGTATTCACGCGACACTGTTAAGTAAAACGAGTTCAAAAGATTTGGCTGTACCCGTCAGCAACATGGCAGCATCAGTCATATGCACCAGTGAGAACCTCTGTTTGCATGTAGATGTGGAAAGCATGTTAAACTTAATGTCATTTTTCTTTTCGTCATTTGTCATCGAAGAAATCAAGATCTTATTTGGAAATTTGTCTTTCTGAATTTTTTGTCCACGAAAAAGAAAGTCGATATGTTTGCATCGGTGGGGTCATCGGTGAGAATGACAGTTTCATGCATTCAATATAGAAATACCATACCAGTGGGTTCATTTTTTCCTGACCTTTCTGACCAGTCCAGTAGTATCACTGGTAAGCTCAGGCGTTAAGCATAAACGAAGGATCATTTCGTATTAAA